GGCTGACAGACAGGGCAGCTCCGTCCTGTGACCCTAATGTGCTCTCCAGTGCCCAGCAAGGTGACTTGCTGGTAGCCTAGGGGATGGCAACCCTGACAAAGTGGCTCACAGTGCGGCTGTGAAACCAAAGAACACTGTAGGCCAGACTCTATCATAAAAGATTTGTTGCCAAGCTGGGTGTGGGGCTGCACACCTGGAATCCCAAATGCTTGGGAGGCGGAGGCAAAAGGATCAAAAGTTTGAGGTCAGCCTGGGCAAAAGCTGGAGAAGTAGCTCAGCGGCATTGAACCAGCCTGGCAAGTGCAAGGTCTGGAGTTCGATCCCCGGTACCAAAACAAAATGGGGGGCGGCTATAGCTCAGGGGTAAGGCCCTTTCTGGGTTCAATCCCAGGTACACTTCCGAGGGCCAGAGAAACAGTCATAATCACGAGCTGATGTCTGAACAAGTCAGTGTCAGGCTGGGGGGCCTCAGGTGAGCTCAGTGCTGGACACTGGCATCAACCTTTGAGCAAAGGCCAAGAAGAACTGCCAAGTGCTTCAAAGACACACAGCTGGTTTGCAGAAGAGCCAGTGAAAAAAATCCAGTCACACTTCATTGTGAACGCCACCAGCACTGCCGGCCGGAGGCAAGGACGGCGAGCCAGTGCCACCATGCCCCACTGCACAGTCCCGGGCTTCATGCTGAACATGCTGCGTGCTTCATTCCCTTTGACCCTCAGGCTTCGCTGGGAGAAAAGGCTCCAGGTGCACTGTGGAATCCCGGTGCCAACGACAAACCTGGCGCGGAGCGGCAACCTGTTCACCACCATAACCCAAGTCTAGGACTGCATCAGCGCAACACAGAGTAAGTGCTCAATAAACACTGGTGGAAAAACCACAACACCAGTCCAGTGAGGAAAATACTGAGTGTTTCACAGTTTCACATCTCAAAATAAAAAAAAAATTCAAAAAGGTTAGGGGGGTCGGGTGTGTAGCTCAGTGGCACCGCATCCTCCTGGCAATCGCAAGGTCTTGAGTTCAAACCCTGGTACAAAAAAATAAATAAAATAAAATAATTTTTTAAAAAGTATGAAAGCCCCCGTTTCAAACCCCAGTACCCCCAAAAATATTTAGAGTAATTAAATCAACTTTTTACTAGATAAATAATAAACAGATGAATGAAATGGAATACAGATTCAATATATACATGGAACTCAAGTAAATAAAGCTGGGATTTCCCAATAGAAAAATATTAATTAAAAATGTGAGTTTTTTTAATATGTTAAAGTGGGGACAATATTTCTAATTAAGATGTAGACCACAGAAGCTATGGGCTGGGGTACTGCTCAGAGGTAAAGTGTGTGTTTGGCATCCACAAGGAGGGAAGGAAGAAGGAAAAGAAGATGACCAGCTACAGAAGCTAGTCAGAGAAAATCACATAGATTTGATTCCAAGAAAGTTTTTTACATTCTGTATGGTAAAAATACCAAAAACATAAACTCAAAGGACACAGGACAAATTAGGAAAAATATTTGCAGCAAATAATAACAGATAAACAAGAGGCTAATTCTTTTTTCTACAAAGAACTATAATGAACTCTCTCATGAAAGAGATGAGCAGCTTGATGAAGAAGTGGTGTGCGTGTCCACCAAAGTACGTTCAATGCCCCATTCCACTCAGAGTTAAAGAAGTACAAATGGAGGGCTCGGGATTTAGCTCAGTGTTGCCGCCTGCCTCACAAGCGCAAGGGCCCAAGTTCGATCCCTGGTACCCCCCAAAAAACCAAAGAAGTACGGATGGAAAAAGACGCCGTACTTACATACTACATTAACAGAAATGAAGGGCTTGATAATGCCCACTGTGAATGAGCACACAGACATGTTCATGCAGTATGAGGCCCAGGTCACCTGCCCAGCCTGGCTGGTTGGCAAATTGGCTATATCCATAAAATTTAAATCAAGCCAAAAAAAAAACAGCCCTGTGACCTTACAGACACTTTCTCTCAAGCATGCAAAGATACACACACAACGACATTCACTGCAGGGCTTGGCACCTGGCTTGTTTCCCAGTGCTCAGGAGATGCCAAAGGTCAAGGCCAGCCTGGGCTACATGGTGACACCCTGACTCAAACTCAAAAGATGTTTGCTAAGGAGAAAAACAAGAACACAAGAAAAGCCAGGGATGTAACTCAGTATTGGCGTACCTGCCCCGCAAGTGCAAGGTTCTGAGTTTGATTCCCAGTACTGGGGGGTGGGGAACGCAAGAAACATGTCCATCAAGAGAGGACTGACTAAATAAACAAATAAACTGTGATTAAACTATAAAATGGAATACAACGCTCTGAACTCAGGGCGCTCACACATCCCCAGCCCTTTTTTAATTTTTTGTTTTGAAACACAGTCACCAAATTCCCCAAGTTGGCCTTGTTTTTTGAGATAGGTAAGATGCATTCATTCATTTACTAACATTTTTTTCATTCTCTTTTTCCACAATTTTACTCTCATTCACATGCACTGAATAGCTGCTCTCCTGAAATTCATGCTGAAACCCTAGCCCTGAAATCCGAGGGGCCCGCAGGAGATGCCTTGGGTCACGAGGACAGAGTCTTCATGAATACAGTCAGCCCTTCTAACAGGGAACTCAGAGGACATTTAGTTCTTTTCCCCAAGACACAACCTGAAAGCAGCATCTGCAGCCCCCGAGAGACCCTCACATGAGCTCAGTCCTGCTGGAAACCCTGACCTTGATTTATTTCTCCAGAACTGTGAAGAGAAGGTCAGCAGGCAGGGAGAGGCCAAGCCGGAGGGAGTCAGGATGCCCAGGGGAGGACAAGGGAAGAGGGAGCTGGGACTGAGGGCCGACCAAGGGCCAGGCCCAGAATGTGCCCCAGGTGAAACCAATGAGATTATCCTGCCCAGGAATGCGAGAAAGAACAGGTGAGAGCTAGCAAGGCCACAGTCGTGACCTGAGGCCTGGGCAGATCAGGCCATGTGTACTGTGCCCTGTGGGCCAGTTGGTCACCCAGACTCCCCTTGCTCAAGGTCACTGGGTCACCGCTACAGGAAGACCCAGGAGCCCTGAGGGTCACAGGCCAAGATAACATCTAACATCCTGGAGGACCTGACTCTTCAGAACAATGCAGAAGTTAAAGCCCCACTGTGGGGGAAGACTCAGGTACCCTATTAACTTACACTCCACCCTTACAGGGATGCTTTGTTCTTCACCGCTGTTCGCTGAGTCACCCCTGACCCCCGGCTGATTGCTTGCATGTAGTCAATAAATAGTGGCAGGCTGGGGAAGTCTGTCTTTGCCCAACTGAGTCACTGACCTCCCAGCTCCCTGTTCATCTGAAAACTTGTCTTTGCCTTTCATGCTTCGAGATACCCTGCCTGCCATGGCCCAGCCGTCCTGGTAGAGAGCCAGTCACACCAAGTCTCTGTTCGCACTCCTCTGAAGAGTGCCTTTCTTCTGCTCTCGCTGCCAGTTTTAGAGAAGTTACAATTAATGGTGCTTTCCTGCTTGTAGCCCCATAAATTGACCTGAACTTGTCCCAGAGTGGTCTGAGCTGCAGTCCTTTCTGTGCATAAAACTCCTGGACAAAGAGCATCCATGGCAACCTGCTCTGCTCTGGTCTCTCCTGGAATTGGCAGCTTTCTGCTTTTGCTCTCCAATAAATGCTTTTGCTTAATTCTCTTGACTCTGTGCCTGGTAATTCTTTCTAGGTTAAGAGAAGAAGCCACCAGCCGGACAGTAACATTACAGCCACTACTGATCCAGGAGAGAAGGAAATTGTCTTTGTTTTCTGAGATAAGGTTGTATTACATAGCCCAAGCTAGCCTCAAACTCATGACCCTCCAGCCCCAGCCACCCAAGAGCTGAGACCACAGGTGTGCACTACGACACGTGGCAAAAGGAAATCTTGGTGGGTGTGGTGCTATAATCTCAGCACTTTTAGGCACAATTTAGACTCGGCAAGACCCTGCTTCAAATAAAAATGGGGGTAGAGGGCATGGGGCTATAGCTCAGAACAAAGGCCCTGAGTTCAATCCCCCATAGCAGAGAAACAGAGGGATCCTGATGATGCAAGAGTGAGAAGGAACCCGTGCAAGAGGTAGGTGAAAGGGGATGGGACCCAGGGCACCTGTGCAGGGGCTGGCCTTGCAAGCAAAGACCATGTGTGGGAACAGGAACAAATGAGAGTGTGTGTGATTGGGAAACAGACTTGGGGGCAGGGGAGCACAGGTATCGCGCTTAATTTCTCAGTCAGAAAATTTCTCATGAGAGAGACAGGAAAATGGAAATGGCAGTAGAGTTTGAGGAGGAACAAAAAGTCATGAAACAATCATCTAAGGAGCTGATACATAAATTGACCAGTGAAATATGGCAGAATTGATAGGCATGGCAAGGGTCCCCTTGAAGACTGCGGCTATAGATGGTTTTTTCCCAGTTCTGGGAATTGAATCTAGGGCCTTCACACTAAGCCATACTGCTAGCCCTGTTTTTATTTAATTTGAGACAGGGTCCACTAGGCAGCTAAGTTTCCCAGGATAGGACTGAATTTATGATCCTCCTGCTTCAGCCTCCCAGAGTGATGGGATCACACCCAGGAGTGTACCACCACATCCATCTATGGTCATACAAGGTGTGCTTGAAAAAACATGATAAATGTTTTGGTTTTTGCTTTTGGTACAGGGGACTGAACTCCGGACCTCAGCTTGTCAGGGAGGCACTGTGCAGCTGAGCGAAGTCCCCAGACAAATTTTTTAAAATTTATTACAATGAAAGACACACTGCCATCTGTTCCCCTCAAAATACAACCTTACTTTAAACACATGTGTCCCATCATTCTTGTTTCTTGTCACTTTCTGAAACAGTTCTGGAAGCCCTCTTTCATGTGTGCCATTAGCTGTATTGTCGTGGCTGCCTTGATGTCCTTCAATACATTCACCTTTCATGGTCATTCTGAATTTGACGGAGAACCAGAAGGTGCAGTGTCAGACCCCGTGAATACGGTGGATGAGGACACCCCAGCATGTTTCCGTAAGTCCGCCATCCCACTGCAAGGCACTCAGCAGCAGCATTCACACCTTGTAAGACTCACAAGAGGATTTCCACAGCTGCTTCAGAAAGTGACAAGAATGAGGGTCTAAGTGTGTTTGAAGGAAGACGGGGGTTTATAGCGGGATTAATGGCAAAGTGTCTTTCACTATAACACATTTTTTTAAACATCCATCATTTTGACCTCATCTTGTAGACTTAAGGTGAAACAAGTCAACATGGCTGTGAACTTTTCTCCAGCCAGACTCAGTTGTCCAAGATGAGGCAGATATAGCCAGGAAGTTAAAGTAGATGAAATGTTGGATTTCATCAAAGCTAGGATTCTGCCAGACAACCAGAGACAAAATCAAGAGCACTGAAGGAATAAGTAAAATGAGTCTTAGAATATGACTGAGGAGATAAGGAATGAGGAAGAAGGTGAAAAAGTGAAGGGTCAAGAGATTGAGGGTCCTAGGGAGTCAGAGAGATGCTGGAGGGAAGAAACAAGGTTGAGGCCAGAGCTGAAGTGATGGAGGCAGTCAGACAAAGGGCGGCTTGCCATGGAGACTTCAGAAGTTGGTCATTTGGGAGCAAAGCACGAACAGGACGAACAGGACGGCAGTCAGATCGTTAGAAGTGAGGAGTGTCAAAAACCTAAACGTGCAGGAGCTCACTTCCTGAACTTCCAGAAGTGTTGAATTTGGAAGTAAAACCAGTCACTGTTTGCTCAGACTACAAGGACTGTCATGCCTTCAGGGGAACTCTGCAATTTTTCAGTAAAAAGGTAAAAGGATAAGTCTGAGAAGTCAGACACAGGAAATTTTGCAGATAAAAGACTGTAAGTTTCAGTGACTATTTGTTTAAAAAAAAAATCCATGCTCACATATTGTTATGTGCCTGTGAATTTTCAGAAAGGATCTGAAAGAAGCTAACAGCCTGCAAACCCAGAGCAATGAAATCAAAATCCAAAGTGCTCTGGTGAGCTGGTGAGAGGGAACAGCCCTGTCAGCAGGGAGTGAAGAGCTACCGATGCTCATTATGTGCCCTACACTGAGTCTAGGACTATGGGAATTTGGCTGTTTTTATTTTCGACAAACCCCCTTTCCACCACATGGCCTGTTTCATCTACATGAGGAGTGAGGGCCATGTCTGCTTGCCTCCTTCTAGCTCTGTGGATCACCTGGAATCCAGCTCTGGGTCCAGGCTGGTGTCGGGGGAAATGAAACCAGAGAGGCTTGGGCAGACACCAGAACCCAACAGCATCATCTGGCGGGAGCACAGAGCCCAATCACACACTCCCGTTTGCACAAGCACAGCATCTTTTCTCCCTAGTCACACACAGTCTGGGCAGGAAACCCCAGTACCACCTGCCCCTGTTCACTCACATGCTTTCCCGTGGCCACATTTCCTACTCAGCAATATCACCTCACCCACACTGTGTGTCACATCCCTTCCACAGATCTGTCTGCCACCAACCTTGAGTAGATGAGGCAACTGCTGAGTTACCAGCTCCCGAAACTCACTGATGCTGAGGCTGCCCTTCCGGCCTTCCCGCCCTGCAAAGGTGAAGAAGGTGTTGACCACTGTGTCGATGGCGGCCTCCACTTCAGTCAGGGGCTCAGCTGCCATTAGGATCCTGGGGCTAGAATTGCTGTCCTCACAGGGCTGACCTGCAGGACACAGAAGGAAAAGAGTGGGCAGGTCAGAGGCCCCCAGTGCAAGGCGGCCTTGGTGTTGCCTCAGGCTCCTGCCTGGAGGGGGCGCTGCTGCAAAGAGGGAGGGGACAGGATTGGGTTTGGGGAAAGGATAGGTTCAGGTTCAGTTCCAGAAACCCCTTTTGCTGTGGGTTCCACAGTCTGGGAGTCCTCTTCAGGGGTCCCTCTGTGGGCGCCTCTCAGTATAAGATCCCTGTCTGGTGGCTCCTCTTGGGACCCCTGAGAGTCTGGTGCCCCTGTGGGGTTTCTGTCCCAAGAACCCCTTCTTGTTTTTCCTCTCAGCCTCAGGTCAGGAGGTTGTTTGTCTCCAAAGCCTGTTTACATTGGACCTGGGTCTCCCTGCCCCTGGCCAGTTTGCCTGCCCACATACTGGCTGCCCTTCCCAGCAGGAAAGCGGGGCTGGCAAGTGCCCAGCTGTGGTCAGGTCTGGCTCCATGTGGCCAGACCCATCTTCTCTGCACTCAGCCCCAGACCCCACAAACGCCCCCACACACTCCTGTCCTGGAGTAACAGGTCCTGGTCCGGGACCACTCTGACCCCCAAGGCCCATGGAGGGCTTGCTCAGGGTACTCGCAGCCCCCAGGGGCACAAGGGAAGACTGGGGAAGCCCACCATTCCTTATTTCCACACACACAGGCTCTCTCTCTCTCTCTCTCTCTCTCTCTCTCTCACACACACACACACACACACACACACACACACACACTCTCACAGGGACTGCAGCCTGCAAAGCCACTTCCTGAATCCCTGTTGGAGCCAGCTGGAGGGGTGGGGGTACCAAAAAGGATCCCCAGACTCCCTCCAGGGTCAACTCACCAAGACAAGGAGATGTGAGAGCAGCAACCTTTAGACTGAGGTTTATAAGTGCTGCTGCCTCCGGCGCCTCAGGCAGCTGCAGCAGGAAGCAGACAGCGCCACACCCCAGCCCTGGGCTATCAAGTTTCCACACTGATTAAGAGGAGGACTGCCCAGTCAGCCTCTGGTCCACCTGGGGGAGCTGCTGGCCAGCAGGGGTCCTGGAGTTTATCACTCCAGGTACTGTACTGGGAATGGCTGCCTCGTTACACCCCCACAGCCAATCAGGAGTGTGTCTGTGGGGACAGAGGACAAGAAAGGGGGGGACGATGACACAAAGGATGGGAGACAATTAATTTGGGGGGGGGACAAGGTCTTGCTCTGTAGTTCAGGTGGCCTTAAATTATGTAGTAGTCCAAGTGGCCTCGAACTTGCTGCGATCCTCCTGCCTCAACCTCCCAAGTGCTGGGATTACAGGCAGGTACTACTGTGCCTGGCATGTCAATTGCTAATTTTAAAAAAGCAACTGAAAGTAACCAGCAGAGGTGTCACACGACTGTAATTCCAGCTCTCTGGGAGGCTAAGGCAGAAAGATCCCAAGGTCAAGCCCAGCCTGGGAAATTTAAGTGACCTAGTGAGACCCTGTCTCAAAATTTAAATTGTTTGTTTGTTTTTTGGTACTGGGGATCAAACTCGGGTCCCTGAGCTTTCGCTTTCGCAGCAGGCAACAGAACCACTGAGCTGATCCCTGTCGAAAATTTAAAAGGGCATGGGATTTTAAAGGGGCCAGGAACATAGCTCAGTTGTGCTGTGCCTGCCTGGCAAGCAAAAGATCCTGAGTTCGATCTGTGGTTCCGAAGAAAAAGAAAAAGAAAGAAAGGGAGGGAGGGAGGACAGGAGATACAGTTCAGTGCTAAAATCCTGGGTTCAACTCCAGTACCAAAAAAAGAAAAAAAGCCACCAAGAGAATTTAATCTGAAAAGCAGGCCCTCTTCCTTGGAACCCACAGACCAAGACCCCTCTGGGGACCCCAGGCTCAAGGCTGGGCCCCGACAAACAGTGGGATCCAGGCTGAGGCCAGCACAGAAGAGTCCTAGACCTAACGGTCTTAGAACCGCTCAGGAGGGTTCCCAGCCTAAGCCCCTCAGCGAGTCCTCCCCACGGTTCCCAGAGCCGAGGTAGGGAGACACCACTGCCCCTCCCGGGACTCCCTCCCCTCCTCCTCCTCCCTCCGAACTGCGGTGCCCAGTGGGGTGGGAAGACACTGGGCAGCCTGTCCCAGCCCGGGACACAGAGGGCGCCTCCGTCCACTCCGGGGCCCTGGCTCCACGGGGTGTCTGCGAAGGGGTGGAGCCGGCTGGCGAGGGAAGGCCCGCTGCAGACAGGTCCGGTGCAGACTGAGCCTGTGCGTGTCTCCCTCCGCGCGTCCACCCAGAACCTGCTCCCTCCTAGGCCCAGACCAAGTGTAAGTATTATGCGGCTCCACCTGTGCTAGGGCCCCGCCTGCCCCACTTGTGGGAGAGGGACTAGGCTGGACCCCCAAAGCACTGAGGTACCCTGAGGGCCTAGGAGTGGTACGGGCAGTGTAGACAGTGCGGAGGTGGTGAGGGGAGCCAGGCAAAGGTGAGTGGAGGGCTGAGAGCCTGCTGGAGGGAGTCAGTGGGGAACCTGCCACCTGGCTCCCCAACGGGAGGCCTCCCCTCTGGGCACTGGGTGGGCTGCAGCCCCTCAGTCTTTTAGGTCCGAGGAGGGGCCTCAGTGCTGGCCTTCCTTCCTGTGGGGTAGGAATAAGACAGAAGAACAGCTGTTCCTGCCCCTGCCAGCCTGTCGCTGCTGTACCATCTTTGCCAAGAGCCAGGTTCCCAGCAAGCGTGGGGGTGGTGGCAGAGCATGGTCCGCGTGCAGAGGCCCTGGGGGACCGTCCCACTCTCCGCCCAGACCCCTAGCCCATGCCTCCCGCCCCAACTTCTCTCACTGCCCAGGTTCGCCCAGAACTGCCCCCGCGTCGTCCCAGGCTGCTGAGGGCTCTGGGCAAATTCCAAGTCCCCCCCTGGCTGGGTCTGGTAACTGAGCCCCCGCAGCCCTCCCTGGAGCACCCCTTCATGCCTCCATAGCTTGGGTCTGAGCTCCCCAGGACTGTGGCGAGGGCTTCTCCTGTCCGGAGTTCAGGTGACACTCACAAGAGCCCCACACAAGAGCAGGGATGTCATCCGATCGGGGCTCACTGTCCAGCCCCCCAGGCCTGGGGAAGGGCCGAAGGACCAAGCCCCTTGGCTTGGCAGGTGCCTCTTCTTAGCAGGCCCCTCCACTCTCCTGCTGGCTCACTCCCATTGCCCAGACTCGAAGGACCCCAGAAACTGAGCCTCTCATCTCCTCCACACTACCAGCCCCGCCCCTGCTCCCACGGTACCCCACCAGCCACACCCCAAAGCCTGCGGGTCTCCTCTCTGGCTCCCTGGGAGCCCTGCCTCCAGAGGCACAGTGTAGACATTCCTCTCTTGCTCCCTCCCACCCATGGATGGAGGGGATAATTTTGCCCAGAAGAGGAAACAAACCGAAAGCAATGAGAGGCAGGCTCCACCCAAGTCACAGAGACATGCCGGAGACAAAAGGGGCTTAAAGGCCCAAACAAGGCCCCAGGTTGCAGACAGAAGCTCATGGACAGTGGGGCTAACCTCCCCAAAAGCCCCAGCCCCCCATTCAAGCTGCCACCCCTCTATCAGGCTCCCTGAGGACACTGAGTAACCCTGCACTGGGGTGGGCAGCAGAGTCGAGGCTGTAGAAATCTGGCCCACTACACCCAACAGAACAGCTTGGCTGTGCTAGGCCTGCAAGGTCCAGGGTAAAAATAGAGCCAGAAGAAACCATGCTGGTCCTATGCCCACCCACCCAGCCCCGCCCTCCAGGCTCTGCCAGGGGAGCCACTGCAGATGTCCACTGCCGGCCCTGCAGCCAGCCCAGCTCAGGCTACTCACTCCCCACGCCAACCCTGACTTCCTGTGGCTAGGTGTGTGCTGAGGACACAGAGCACATGTGTCCTTTGGGTGTCCCGGAACTTCCCCACTGCGAAATCTCAGTGAAAGGCAAACGGCAGTGGGGCTCCCACCTTACAGCTCTTTGCACTGTGGAACCAGTGAGCGCCTCAAGGACCCCCTGACCCAGACCCCAGACACCCTGTGCCTGGTCCCAGCTCACTTCCATGGTGGGGCAGGTCGGTGCGCTGCCACAATGGGCTCTGAGCTGGAGACTGCCATGGAGACCCTCATCAGCGTGTTCCACACCCACTCGGGCAAGGAGGGGGACAAGTACAAGCTGAGCAAGAAGGAGCTGAAGGAGCTGCTGCAAACTGAGCTCTCCGGCTTCCTGGACGTGAGCACCGATGGGGGCACAGGGTGCTGTGGGAGGGGTGGGCGCCTCCCCGCCACCCCCCGCAGCTCACCTCTTCCAGCCCTCTACTCTCCCTAGGTGTGGTCAAGATGCCCTCGTTACTGATCGTCAGCTGAGCACTCAGCCCCAGACAGCCTCCTCAGTCACGAGGCCCTCAGCCGCGGAGAGAAGTAAACCACAGAGCCTTCACAGAGGTGCCAGGAAGGCCAGGGGAGACTAGGGACCTGAAGGGGGCGAGGGGGCTTCTCTGGAAAGCAGCACTGGGTGCACACTCCCACTGGAAGATGACGTCAGTGAGGGCATTTTAGGAGGCATCCATGAGAACAAAGAATTTGGAGCCCAGTAGTTCCATCTGACAAGAGGATGCAAAGAAACAGGCTACAAACGCTAAGAGGGGCCATGTAAAGGAGCAGCCTTGGGACAACCTTTAAGGTGTCACTGCACTGCATTCAAATTCTGGCCTTGCTACTTTCCAGCTGTGTGACCTTGGGCACGTGTGTTTAACCAGAACCACTGATTTGGTTCTTCTCTAGAATGGAAATAATGAAAACAATTCCATAGTTTCCCCACTTTGGTGCTGGATATTGAGCCCATTCTACCCAAGTGCTATACCACTGAGCTACATCCAGCCACAGCCCTTTTTCTTTTCTTTTTTGAAGGGAGGGATCAGTTTGTGGTTTGTTGTCAGTGTGTCTCCCGGGGATCGAATTCAGGACCTCGCACTTGCAAGGCAGGTGCCCTACCACTGAGATAAATCCTTAGCCCTTTGGTTTGTTTACTTTGTTTGGTTTGGTTTGGTTTGATACCAGGGATTGAACTCAGGACCTTGCACTTGCAAGGCAGGTGGTGGCACCACTGAGCTAAATCCTTGGCTGGTTTGTTTTTTTTGAAACAGGGTCTTATTATGTAGTTCGGACTGGCCTTAAATTCACTATCTAGTCTAGGCTAGCCTTACACTTGAGGCAGTCCTCATGGCTCAACCTCCCAAATGCTGAGAAGCGTGCACCACCATGCCTGGCTGCCTAGCCCTTTTTGAGATAATGTCTTAAATTACACAGCTTGGCCTTAAACTTGCCATCCTCCTGCTTCATCACCCAAATGGCTGGGATTATAGGTGTGCACCACCTACCCAGCTAACTCCATACTAGAATTAAATTAGACAATAGCCAGGGCTGGTGGTGAACACCTGTAATCCCAGTACTCTGGGAGGATGAGGTGGAATAATTGACCAAGTTTGAGGCCAGCCTGGAATACATAGTGAATTTAAGGTCTGGGCCAGGGATGTAGTTCAGTGGTGCCACGCCTACCTCACAGGCATAAGATCCTGAGTTTAATGCACTGCACACACACACAAAAAATCAGTTCTCAAAGTCAGCCTGAACTATATAGTAAGACCTTGTCTCAGAAGAAATAAATAAATAAAAGCTAGTCAGCTGTAGTGGCACCCAACTGTAATCCTAGCACTCAGAAAACTGAGGTAGGAGAATTGCCACAAGTTCAAGGCCATTGTTGGCTACATAGTGAGTTTAAAGCTAACTTGAATTATACAACAAGACTTTGTCTCAGAAAACAACAAAAAAACCCAGCTGGGATGTAGCTCAGCAGCACAATGCCCGCGTGGCAAGCAAGAAGCCCTGAGTTCCATATCCAGTACCAAACACACACGCACACACACACACAAAAGGCTGGGGATGTAGCTCAGTGTGAAGCCCCTAGGTTCTATCCCTAGTACTGAAAACACTCACACACACACACACACAAAGGCTCGTAGTGCAGTACTTGTCACACTGCAGACAGTCAACCTAGGACCATGATGGGGAACCTTTTAGAGCTCTTAATGATACAAACAGCCTGCTGCAGCACACGTGACACAGGTTCACCACCAGTGACCTCTGGTGACTGACGTTACTAACTCTGCCAGGTTAAGGAGTCTGTTCTGTGGGCAACAGAAGCAGTGAGTTTGGAAGGACACAGAAGAGTGGACGCCACTGCTCCTCCTGCTCATCTCTGCCTCCCTGTCCTCGACCACCCCACACGCTTGCCTAGTCAGGGCACCTCCCCTCCCACCTCCTCTCCCTCTTCTCCCTCCTAGGCCCAGAAGGACGCAAATGCTGTGGACGCGGTGATGAAGGAGCTAGACGAGAACGGAGATGGGGAGGTGGACTTCCAGGAGTACGTGGTGCTGGTGGCCGCTCTCACCATGGCCTGCAACAACTTCTTCTGGGAGAACAGCTGAGCAGACAGCCCCAGGCGGCGCCTTCCCTTCCACCCTGCCGGGCTTACCCCAGCTGCGACTCCCCACACTGCCACCTTTGCCTGCTCCTCCACACACATCAAGGCACAGGAATAGCAGTGCAGCGCTGTTCATCTTCATTAAAGGCTCCTCTAGCTGGCCACGGGTGTTTGCCTCCTCCTGGATCTGGAGTGGGTGACGCGCGGTGTGTGCGCTCTCAACTTCTCTTGCTTTGGAGAGAGTTCCTGTGCACTGCCTGGGAGAACGCTCAAAGCCGGGAAATATGGGGTCCAAGGTTCCAGCTAGAGATTGAAGAGATGTGGGCTAGGGAAACTTAAGCGACCTAGTAAGATCCTGTCTCAAACTTTAAAAGGGGATGGGAAAGGGGCCAGGGATGAAGCTCAGTGGCGCCGCGCCTGCCTGGCGAGCAGAAGGTCCTGAGTTTGACCCCCGTAAGGGAAAAAGAAATGGAAGAGACATCAGCTTCTCAACTATAACACCAGAAGAAACTCCTTTCAACCTCAACCGGTATTTACAGAGGTCCTACATGTTCTAGACGCTGTGTAGGAAGTGGAGATACAGCAGTGTGCAAATAAACGCGACACAGCCTCAGCCGGGTAAAGACAAGGACTGTCACAGGGCCACCCCCATGCACAAGCACACGCCTCCAGGAAGGGAAGGAGCGACAGGCGCGCCGCCCCCGGGCCGAGGGCTGACGCCTGAGCTCCTGTGTGCCCCGCCTTCGCGAAGCATCTCTCGGTGGCTCTGCCCCCACGTCCGCACAGAGGCAGACGGGAGGGAACGGGAAGGCCAAGGGCCCCCAAGAGGACCAAGCGTACCCAGGCCGAGGTGGGGGAGGCGCGAGAGGAAAACCTGACGGCGGCGGTGGCCGGTGCCGGGCCCGCCAGGGGCGCTGCCGCACGCGCCTCAGTCCACCCCCTCACAACCGCGAGCGCGGCCACCGGGAAGGGGCCGAGGCGACCCTTGCATAATGACTTTTTTCATGGGAGCAGAGGGAATAGGAACACTGTTTTCACTCTGACAAAGCCGCTGTCTGCGGCTTAAGGCACTAAGGCGACAGACTGCGGAGCAAACCCGCCCAGCAAACGCGTCCCACAGCGCCTCACACGTGAAGCCACTGGCCACGCCCTTTGAGGGCGGGACACTGATCGAAAGCCCTTTGGGCTCCGCCTCTGACTTCTGCGCAGGCGTACACACATCTAGCAACCTAGTTGCGCGCGCATCTGACGCCCGACGTACGTACGTCGACGCCATTTTAGCCGGTCCCACTCCGCATTGGACGTGACGGCCATTTTGTTTTGGACCTCGAGCGGGAGTTGGCGGCAGAGCTCTGGTGCTGCAAACGAAAGACAGGAAAAGGCAGGCCGGGCGAGCAGGCGGATAGGCCAGCGACTAGGGAGCCAACACCCAACGAGCGAACCTTGCCATCTACCGCTTACCCTTCAAACCAACCGCCTAGTCAATTCGAGCCCCTCCATCGCCCATTCGGGTTTGGCCGGTCCCCGGCCCGCCTGCCGCAGCCGTGG